CAATTCAATTCTTGTCTTTACATTCTTAGAATTACTATGCTAGAGTAGGATTGAAACTTAGGGTGCTAAACTTTTGTGCGGTAGATCATTAAAATCACTTTCTAGGCACAAGGGGTGAAGTGGGCTAAGTGTAGGGTTTAATTATTGCAAAGAATTTTAGAATTAGCCCAATTCACCCCCCCCCCTCTTGGACATCTTGATCCTCCCCCCCCCCACTAACGGATCCAGGGGGCATCCTCACCGCCTAGGACACGGGGGTTGTCACAGCGGGTGCCCCAACCCAGACCGCCTACTATGTCACCATCCCTTTCACCTCTACCACCTCCACCTACTCCTTCGCCATCTCCAACGTCTATGCCCCCTCGGATCACAGGGACATGGACGCCTTCGTAGCTAACCTCGACGCCATGTCGCCCACCGACGACACGAACTGGCTTGTCATTGGAGACTTCAACCTCACCCGCGCCCCTGGGGACAAGAACATTGCCAACTTCGATCAAAGGCTGGCGGCCAAGTTCAACTCGGTGATTGATGGCCTCACCCTAATCGAGCTCCCCCTCCTAGACCGTCTGTACACTTTGTCTAACAAGCAAGCAGTAGCCACCTTAGCCAGGCTCGACCGCGCGTTCATCAACGGGGGGTTCACCCTACTATTCCCTAGCTCCAATCTCAACTTCCGTCTAGGCTCTACCTTGGACCACGTCCCCCTAATCCTCACCGCACCCACCTCCACTCCGAAATCCTTCCGCTTTTGCTTTGAGAACGCTTGGCTCAAACACCTTACCTTCCTCCCCTCTGTCCTCCCGGTCTGGTCTAGAGCTTTTGTGCCGTCGGACGCGACCAACGGTCTGGTGGGGTGGATCAAGGCTCTTCGCCATGGCGCCAAGGTCTGGTCCAAGAAACACCGTGCCTGGCCTGATGACTAACAATGCTTCTTTTATTGTGTTGCTCCTAGACATCTATGAGGAGTCCAGGGTGCTGTCCGCAGGTGAACGACGTCTACGCGAGCTGTGTCGTGACTGGCTCGCCCTGCTCATTGCCCAGCGGGCCACGTACTGGAAGCAGCATGGGAAGTTCTGAGCCCTTCGAGAAGGCAACACCAACACAAAATTCTTCCATGCCAAGGCCTCCTGCAAAGCGCGCGGAACGCCATCCGTGCTCTAGAGGTGGACGACGTGCAGCTGATCAGCCACGACGACAAGATGGTCGCGCTCACCGCCTACTACACCATCATCCTAGGCAGTGAGGTGGCCACGACATGGAGCTATGACCTCGAGCAGCTATACACTAGTGCTCAGCGTGCAGAGCCGGCGCCGTTCATTGCCCTATTCTCGGAGCAAGAGGCGCTCCGGGCGGTGCGCGCCATGGCGGTGGACAACGCCCCTGACCCAGATGGCATCGGGCCTAGATTCTACTCGGCGGCCTAGGAAACCGTCAAGGGCGACATCATGCACTTCCTACATGCTTTCCACCGCGTAGAAGCCGATCTACATCGCATCAACAGAGCGGTCATCGCCTTGATCCCCAAAACGGAGGTAGCCACATCGCCCGCCGCGTTTTGCCCGGTGTCGCTGCAAAACTGTCCCGTCAAGATCCTGACCAAACTCCTAACCTCTAGATTGCAGCTGCATATTACCAAGCTCGTGGACATAGACCAGACCGGCTTCATCAAGGGGAGATCCATCGTCGAGAACTTCGTCCTTGCCACCGAGCTAGTCCAATGCTGCCACAAATGCCGGGCGCCAACTCTGGTGATCAAGTTGAATTTCATGAAGGCTTTTGACTCAGTAAACTGGGTGAGCCTCCTCAAGATCCTGAAGGTGCACAGCTTCCCCGGAAAGTGGTGGCGACTGGATGCACCAGCTACTCGCCACGTCCAAGTCCGCGGTGCTCCTAAATGGAGCTCCCGGACCATGGATAACCTACAAGAGGGGGTTCGGGCAAGGGGATGCGTTGTTGCCATACCTCTTCCTGTTGGTCGCAGACGTCCTCCAATCCATGATCAAAGCAGACGCAGCGATCAAGCATCCACTGACCGATGGCACGGCCCCCGTGCTCCAGTACACCGACGACACCATCATCCTGCTCTGCGTCGACATGGAGAGTGTCCAGCCACTGAAGAGCGCCCTCGATAGCTTCTTCTCTAGTACCGGCCTGGTGATCAACTTTGGAAAAAGCATGACCACGCCTATGCATGTCCCCCCCACCGCCGACCTGCAAGCCTACATGGACCTCCTGCAATGCAAGGAGGGGAAGTTCCCCCAAACATACATGGGGCTCCTCCTCTCCAATGTCAAGCTGCCGATCTTGGCCTTCGCCTCGCTCATTGCCAAGGTGGATAGGTACCTCGTTAGCTGGAAAGCTCTCCTCCTAAGCACAGCCGACAGGGTGGTGCTAATCAACACCGTGCTGGGCGGCCTACCGATGTACGCCATGGGCGCCATGGCGCTGCCACCCGGGGTGATCAAGGCGCTGGACACGTGCCACCACGCATTCCTATGGACAGGCATGGGCATGGCCTCCGGCGCACAACCTCATTGCATGAGAGGATGTCCGTAAAGACAAGCAAGATGGCGAGTTGAGGATCAAACGCTTCGACACCCAGAACGTCTGCTTGCTGCTCAAACTTCTCCACCGGCTTCACCACACTGACGGATCGGCCTGGGCTCTCAGGGTCACGCACCACGTCAACCGAGCGAACTTGAGTGGCGCGCTCCACGGCACGCACTAGGCGGCGCTCCATGACCTACTCTCAGTGTACCAACACATCACCAAGATCTCTATCGGAAACGGGCACATCACGAACTTCTGGAAAGACTGCTGGCTAGGTGACGCGCCGTTGGCCGATCAGCTCCTGGCCCTCTACAGCCATTGCGTCGTCAGCACCACGACCATGCACAACATGGTGCGCGCAAGCCTACGCGACCTGTTCTAGCACCGGCTGACGCCACAAGCGACGGTGGAGCTTGGTCAGCTCTCCGAGATGCTCCAGGAGGTCACGCTGGGTCTGGAACCGGATGAGCGCTCCTGCTTCTTCGAGGATGGCGAGCACCAGCTGGTGTCGGGCTCATCTACAAAGCCTCGACGCGTGGTGACCACGATTGTGCCTCCTACTCCTTCGTCTGGGAGAACTTCGCCCCACCGCGCATCAAATTCTTCGGCTGGCTCGTCACGCAGAACAGGATTCACTGTCGTGTGGCCCTCGCAAGAACATCATCGACGTTGCAACCTGTGAGATTTGCAGGGCCACAGAGGAGATGGCGGATCACATCTTCTCCGAATGTCCATTCGTCCAATCCTTCTGGGCAAACATCGGGTGGTGCCCAGGCAACGTCGCCAAGGTGAAGGAGCTATGGAACACTCAGCCTCCACCACATGTCACGAAGAAGGTACTGCACCCCATGCTCCTACTGCTATGCTGGGAAATCTACAAGCACAGGAACGATGTCGTCTTCCGTAGAGTGCCACCCGACATCGCCCGTCTCACCTCGGCGTGCAAGGAGTCCATTAAGAACTGGAGCTGCCACATCCCTAAGAAAGAAGAATCCATGGCTAACAGCACTACCGGAATCCACAAATTTGCCGAGTGTTTTTATGTTTGCCGAGTGTATTCCCTCGGGCACTCGACGAACAAGTTCTTTGCCGAGTGTCGCGCTAAAAACACTCGGCAAAAAAAACGCTCGGCAAACAGGATGTTTTGCCGAGTGTCAAAACAAAAACACTCGGCAAAGAGGTTATTTGCCGGGTGTTTAAAAATACACTCGACAAACAAAAATAAAATCTTTTTCTGAAAAAGAAGGAGAAGAAAAAAAATTAAAAAAAACTTTGCCGAGTGCTCAGATCTAAAACACTCGGCAAAAAAAGTAGAAGAAGAAAAAAATTAAAAAAAAACTTTGCCAAGTGCCCCATCTAGGACACTCGGCAAACAACAAAAATATCTACTTAACGAACAGGCTGCGCGTCCCCATCACCCCACCCGCCCTCCCGTCCCCACCCCTTCTCTCTCCTCCCACCCCTAGTGCCCCCTCTCCTCCCGACGGCGCCGCCTCCCTCCACTCCTCTCCCGGCCGCCCTCTTCCCCTCCGTCCGCCTCCGCTTTCAACCCCCTCATCTAGCTCCCCCCTCCCCTACCTTCTTCCCCGCCGGCGGCCGGCCCCTCCCCTTCTTCTTCCCCGCCGGATCCGGCCCCTCCCCTCCCCTCCTCCCTTCTTCCGCGTCGGATCTAGGCCCTCCCTTCTTCCCCGCCCCTCCCTACTTCACCGGCGCCGCCTCCCCACCGGCGAGATCCGGCGGCCGATGCCGCCCCCTCCCTCCCTCCGTCCCCCAACGGTGAGATTCAGGGAGGGGCCCTGGCGGCGCACCCCAGGCGGTGGTGGAGGGGTGGCCCGGCGTTGCGGGCGCGACACGACGGGGTTGTGGGATCGGCACGGCAGCTGCCTCTCACCCTCGCGGTGCCCGGATCCATGGCGTGGCGTCCTTGCGGCAGCTGTCTCCCGCGACGCGGATCCAGGGCGGGCCGGCCCCCACCAGCGTCCCCCACCCGCGGAGGCGGCGGCCAGCGCTGGTGAGAGCGGGGTGGCCGGATCCAGCTCCCTCCCTCGTTCGCTCAGCACGGCGGCGTCGATCTAGGGCAAAGAAGGTGGCCGCGGATCCAGGGCAGGGAAGGCAGCCACGCCGTCGCTCAGCACGGCGGCGCGGGCCCATACTCCCTCCTTCGCTCGGTGGCAGCGCGGATGGAGGCATGAATGGAGGCGGAGCAGGAGTCGGTGGTGGCGTCCGATGGCTGATGCTTTTTTTATTTTTAAAAAAAAATGTTTGCCGAGTGTTTTTGGTGCACTCGGCTTTGCCGAGTGCCCGACGAAAAACACTCGGCAAAACAGCGTTTGCCGATAAACCATTTGCCGAGTGTTTGGCACTTGGCAAACCTCCTGTATCCGGTAGTGCAGTTGGAGACTAGTGTTGTCTATGTAATCTAAACGCCCCCTCAACCATGTAATCCTCTATTGTAAACTGTGCAAGACCTTCCACCAACTGGGTCCTCCAGGGTATCTGTGGAATGGAATGCAGGTGGGGATCCATTTTGATCCGCCCGAAGTTGACCTAAAAAAACAGCCACAGCACAAACTGCCATAGGTGGCCATCTTGTAAGCTGGATCTCCGAAATACTGGGAGCATGGGTGGGGATTGTACCTAGCGCGGAAAGTGACGCCGAGAATCCAGTCGTTCGTGGAGTACACGTTCACGAATCTTCCGGCGACCATCTGCAATGAGGCAATGCCATGCGATTATGCTAGCAGGAACGGTGGTTGCTTCAGGGAGCAACCATGCATCAGTGTCATGTTTGGTGCTCAGATTCGTCATACCTTCCTGGCAGGCTCCCACATCTCACCTTGAACTGAAACCGGAGCACCTATGAGCACGGCTCTCTCAACGATTCCCACTGTCAGTCACAAACATGTCATCAGAATAAACAACTACAAATTATCTTCAATGTGCAGACAGTTTACATGTACCGTTATTTCCCAATTGCGCTAACTCCTGCAGGCACTTGAAAACAACACGAGCTCCTAGCGAAAACCCGACCAGAGTGACAGGCCTGGAATCATTTTGCTGCCGGGGCCAATATTAGCTCCATAGAGAAAGGAAGTTTACTGAAGAAAGTACATTGTAGGCAGAACGTCAGCAAGCATTTTCCCAGCTTTATCTGACCTGGATGCATCTACCAGCTGATTAATCAAGCCGAAGCATGCACTAGATCTATCTAGTGAACAGATCAGCTATTTCGTCAGAGGAGGCTAAATTTAAGAAAGAACCAAAATCTCGTAGTGCTTAGTTGCTTTTAGTAGAGCTCTTAAGTTTCAATAGTGAAATTCAGAATTCAGTTTTACATGGCTCAAAACAATGTACATCGTGTAGAAAAGAAGAGCACAAAATAATAACCAGAAAATGCTTGCTAACTAGAGTTTGTAGGGCTACCTGTCAATAGCAACAGACCATTTGCTGTCGATAAAGTCTGCAGCAGATACCAAGGTAGCAGGCCAGGCAAATGCTGAAATAATACAATTTAACACAGTCTGCATTGCACCTTCCCTCATCAACTCAATTGCTAATCCTACAGTTATAACCAGATTGTTTCAATTAATATGGAATGCAAAGCAAATTATCAGTTCAGGTGAAAATTACTTGAGGCTAGCCAATCCTGTATTGCTGTGCTGACGTCAATTACATGCTTAGACTCCCACTGCAGAACGTACCTGCAAATATCATATCAGTACAAATTTCAGCTATGCTCTAGTTATACAAGGCAATCTTCAAAACAATAATGCACTGCAAGCTGTTTTCCACACATATAATGACCTTGAGAAACTCACTTCTATCCATGTTATCTGAACTCGATCTTTATTCAAGATACATTTCTTTTTATATTTCTGCAATATGGAACTGCATAAGAAATGCAATGTTCACCATTCTACTGCTAAAGAAATGGGTACCTCTCTAAGTTAGTTTTCCATCCTTCCCAAGGCTTTGAATAATCGTCCTCGGAAAAAGCAAATCCAGAAACAAAGATGCCAACTGCTAGGCGCTGAAAGAAAAAAAAAAACAGCAACGAATATCTGATCAATAAATTTCACTCATATGTTTTTCCTGATTCCTGAAATACAAGAACTTGCTTTGTGCCCTTTTAGACCATTTGAGCATCAAGCAAGTCACACTGCACATAGAAGGAGAATAAAAGACTCACACCCTGGCTATGGTTTTGGCCAATGGTCTTGAACTCAAATTCTTTCACATTTCCGATTCTTGTGGCCATTTTGGTCCCAGTCAACCCAGCTCCAGCAGCTGATTTCAAAAGATGATGATTTAGTCGCTAACTCGCTATGAACTCATGGTCAGAGACTTTTGAATTTAGTGCCAGTACATAGATGCATAAAAATCAGCAATACGTTTACTATTTCTTCACTCATTCTCTAATTTAACCGGTTCACTACTATTATTACTACTACGGTGACGATGATGACGACTACTATATTTTCACCAACAATCGGTGCATGGTACAAAATATAGGAATAAGAATCAAGAAAAAAGAATAATGTGAAATGAAGAAATTGTCACCAGAGTAGTAATAGTCAAGCAACATTTTGTTAGGCTCACCTCCAAACGATGCTGCAACTGCTACAGAGCCAGCAGTGTGTCCAGCAGCAGTAGCTATGGCAGCAAAACCACTAGCACCTATAATAGGCACAAGTGTATGCAATGTCGGAACTAGAGCAGTGAACCCTGCAGCAATTGCCGGGGCTGCCAAGCCTGTCGGATTAGTGCAAAAATTCAGCAAAGTTGACCACATATATAGTGTCCAAACTTATCAAGAACGATCTAACATTTCAAATGAACCCTGCTATGAATTCATGTGAATCCAATCCATACCCCCAGATATAGCCATCAATGTTCCTCCTGTCAGCGCGGCTGCGCCGATGATCCCGCCACGCTTCCAGTTCTCCCATCTGCTATTCGGTGACGAATTCTCACGTGACTGTGTTCCTCCTCCTTTGCTGCAGCCATAGCAGAGCAAGCAATCATTATCTCGACAGCTTCCTACAATGCCAAGATACCCAATCACAAAGCCGCACTCGATACTCGACTGGATGCAATGCAACAACATATATAGCGTATGTAATCTCGTAGCTATCGATGCTGGATGCATGGTGCAATGGGCGACGAACCATCTTGTTCCAGGTGACGTCGAGCCAGGTGGCGAGCAGCCGGAGCACGACGCGGTGGCGGGTGTCGTAGCCCTTGGTGACGCGCGGGGACCCCATGCCCTCCTCGGCCATGTTCACGTCCGCGACGCACGCGGAGAGGAGCATGTACAGCACCGCCATCTTCCGGTAGTCCTTGGTGCGCGTCGACGCCGCCAACGCATGGTCGTCATCGTCGTCGGAGACGTGGCTCTCTGGTTTGAGCGCCTCGGCCGCCGATCCGACGCCGCCGCTCTCCAGGCCCATGGCCTTCGCGTCCACGGCCTTGGCGAGCGCCAGCTCCTGATCGGATCGCTCTGACCGGGCCTTCTCGTCGTCGTCTTCGTCCTCGAACACTTTACGAAGGAACTGCATCCACGGCAAGAGGACGCACAGTAGTTTTCAAGATGAATTGTTTTGGCACTAATACGATCGTGGTGAACTGAAGAAGAAATCTTTGGTGCGTACGGCGCCAATGTGGTGCTTGGGATCAGAGGACGCGGCCGTCTTCTCCACCCCGACCCAGGCCTTGGGGTCGATCTCAAGAAACCTACAAGAAACGGTGTCACGTTTCACGTATCGTCATGCCCGCATTTGATGGAGAAGAATGCCTGCATTGGGTAGGGGGAAATGGAGAGACCATGCAATGCATTATCGATCGTCGTCACCTGAGGACGGGGCGGAGGAGGCCGCGGGACTCGTGTGTCCAGAGGTCGCGGGCGTCGGGTTCGACGGCGGTGGCCGCGTCGGGGTGGGGCTCGTCGTCGAGGCCGTGCGAGCCAAGGAGGACGGTCTGGCGCGTCTGCGCCTGGCGGAGCGCGAGCGCCAGGAGCGCCCCCGCCGCATACCGCTGCGTCTGGCCCAGCGTCGACGACGTAGCCATCGCCGCAGCACAGCCTGGGAGCCCCCGCCCTGATCGCCGGCCGGCGCGTGTGCGGTGGGAGGGAGGACGTACGCGGGGGCGGGGGCGGGGGCCGGGGGTGCGTGAGTGACTGACTGGTTGGCTCGGTTCGCGCGGCGAGGAGGAGGCGAGGCTGGGCGTCGATCGCTGATCGATCGATCACAGCTTCATAGGAACCGTCGCGGCTCTGCTCGCCCGCGGGCTGGCGCGGGCGCCATGGTGCAGGGCGTTTCGGTCGCTACGGGCCGATCGGTTGGGTTGGGTTGTAGGACTTGGTGGGATGCCCAGATGCAGTGGGCTTTTTGGAGAGGCGCCGGCCGACAGCACCTGATGCCCAGACTTATCTTTGCGATATACTCAGCCCACGGTTGAATTGACCCATCATGCTTCCCTGTCCAGCCCAAATCCTCAACCCTGCAGCTATTTTTTTTATATTTTGCAAAATATTAATTCCGGAAGTCGACTTGTACGGACTATATATTAGCAGCGGTTGACTTATGCGTATGGCTATATCTGTACGCCCGCGCGGGTGATTGAAATCAGACTTGAAAGTTTCAAACGGGTCGCTTTCTCACCAACCGCAAGCAAGCTAAATCACATAGGTTACTATCTTATTTATTTTTTTAAGATTTTGTTTAGGCTCTCTTTAGTTATATACCCACAGTTTACTAACTTGTTTTTCTTCTGAACCGCTGCTTGAAACTATCTGGAACTCATTAAAAATGCCCTATGGTGAATTCAGGATCAAAACTTTTGCTCCATAAGTTGCTATCTTTTTTTTCTTTTCTTTTTTCAGATTTCCTTTTCATTCTCTTTCTGGAATTTGAAACATGTTGAATGATCATCATTCATCTCATATAGGCATGAATGACTTAGTATGTTATATCTTTCCAATGCTGAACAAAGAAATTTCTCATTTTGCAGACACAGCATATGCTTGATCAGCTCACTGATCTTCAGAGGAGGGTATGCTCTTGACATGATAAGATTTATGAAGATTTATATCTGTAGATATTTTTTTAGATTATTTGTGCTTAGATATAGGTACTGTTTGAACTACTTAATGATATCGCTAAACCATGTCAAGGAGCAAATGCTGTGTGAAGCGAATAAGTGCCTTAGAAGAAAGGTAAGAAATTGCCCCTAAGCCCTTAATTGTGTTTGTGTATGTATGTCAAGTATTATATTCTTTAGATTTGGGATTTAGGAATCCCTTACGGTGCAACACTAAATTCTATGCGACACCGCCGCACTTGGTTCGCGTGTAGCACCGCACGCGATCTTGACGCGTGTCCGCTCGCTCGATCACGCACGGGTCCTCCCCATCTAGAAAACGCAACTGCTGCCTTGAAACGGGCCCTCTGCACTGGAAAACGGCGGCACGTGGACTCGATCACGCCGGCACTGTTGCGCCTTGCCTAGTGGGACCAGCAGACACGCGTCAAGCAAGTGCGCGGTACCGCACGCGAGCGAAGTGCGGCAGTGTCGCATAGAATTTTATTCCTTACGGTGCAGCAAGCATGTTTAGCATGACATTGAATTTTCTGAAATCCTGAAATTAAATTGAGTATTGCATAATTTTCTTAAATTACTTACTAATTCTAAATTTATAGTAAACTCATGTTACCCAAAAAGCATGCATCTGGAAGTGAGAAAAGAAAAAAGAAGAGAGGGATAGAGGACTTAATACAATCACAAGAAGAAAAAAAAATATTTTTCATACATTATATTTATTAGAAACATCATTATAGCATTAGTGTTATATTAAAGGGCTCATTTTTTTTTTAGTTCCGCTCCAGGTCACTAGATTCACAGGACCGGGCCTGTGGCACCGGCACCTCTGTCATCTCTTCCCGTTGCCGCTGAGGTGGAGTGGCTGCTAAATCACAACATACATTGCAGCGTCCAACCCCAGGACTTCCCAAGGCCAAGGCCAAGGTATGTAAACGCTAACCCCAAACCAGCTGCTAAACTGCACTGAACTTGCAATACCTGTCCACTGAAGCAACTCAAACTTTGCAATAGCATGCAATAGTTTTTCTTTCCTGAAAAAACTCATGTGCCAAAATAAACCTGAAAGGTGTCTAAAATTCTATTGTGACCGTTATAAATTTGTCCTACAAGACGGCCTAGGGAGAAAAATTCCATACAGTTCATGGTCATGAACTCTGAACTTGTGGAGCCTTGTTCTATTATATGAACATACAAATGGAACACCAAATGCATGTCATCCGAACAAAGTGATGACATGATGCTATTATTTGGCCAGGGTAGTTAAGAATGCAGAAATTTGAAATTTACAAATTAAACTTTCTAATTTCGTTTCCTCAAAAAAAAACTTTCTAATTTCCACAGTTACTGCAGAACTCGCATATTCTGTATCTTTTTTTTTTCATCCATGTCAGTTTCTTCACTCTTCTATAGGAGGCTTTGAATCCTTCTGAGCACTCCAATGTGGCACTACGACCAACAAGAGTCTTCAAGGGCCAAGGTATAGTACGATTTTCACAGGAAGCGCTCAAAGCCTCCTAAAAAGGGCCAGCCTGAGGGTGCTCTGTATGACTATGGGGACAAGATCAACTTGGCTGTGTACGAGAGCACCTGATGCCCAGACTTATCTTTGCGTTATACTCAGCCCACGGTTGAATTGACCCATCATGCTTCCCTGTCCAGCCCAAATCCTCAACCCTGCTGCTATTTTTTTTATATTTTGCAAAATATTAATTCCGGATGTCGATTTGTACGGACTATATATTAGCAGCGGTTGACTTTGCATATGGCTATATCTGTACGCCCGCGCGGGTGATTGAGATCAAACTTGAAAGTTTCAAACGGGTCGCTTTCTCACCAACCGCAAGCAAGCTAGCCGCGGCCGCCCCGCCATCAGCTACCTACCACATTTCTCTGGCCTCTCGTGTGCCAGATGGGCAGATCCCAGATGGGTCGATCGCGAGTGCGACACTCAAAAGAGTCACAATCAGCAGTCAGCGGTCGACACCCATCGTCAGCTGTGGCACAAAAAGGATATGGACCGAAAACGTTGGAACTGGCCGGCCATGCTCTCCTGGAATGGAATTAATAAATAAATTGATCGAACGACAGATAAACACAACAGCAACGTCTACACTACACCCATTTCCAAAACATGCATACACTAGCCACTACACGAAATTGTGCACTGTCCTGTAGGTCTTCTATTAATACTAGTAAATATTAAGGTATTACTGAGGCCCTGTTTGATCTCAAAATAAGAATCAGGGTTTTTGTTTAGCTGGAGTCATATTTATCTTAATCCATATGTGTTGGGGTAAATTAAGATTAAAATAGTTAATTTTTCACTCCAATCTACCCAAATACGTGTGGATTGAGGTAGATATGAGTGCAGTCAAAGAAGGTCAAAATGGAAAAATGAGAAGGAGATCCAAACACTTTTAGATTCGAGAAATGAGATTTTAGAATTCAACTATCTATGCCAAACCTACTATTTGGTGGTTTTCACTATACAAAAACAATAATCACTATTTAAGAATGAGATCCAAAAATCCTCTCTTTTTTTTTAATCTAGGATCCAGATTATACATTCACGTACACTATTTAGAATCGAGATCTCACTATGAGAATGAGATCTAAACAGTCATTAATTCTTCACCTTTTCCTACCAGATTAACATCCTGTTCGCTTGAACTTATCAGCCCGGCTTATCAGTCATAATACAATGTTTTTTTCTCACAACAAAACAGAATCAGCCGGCTTATTAGTAGCAGAAACCATCCGGCTTATCGACCATACTACTCTGTTATGATTGAAGTGCCTTCTGATATATGGCTGATTCCGTCTCTATATTGTTCGAGCTAGCTCCATGACTTCTTGGTCGGGTGAGCTCTTGTATTTTTGATGAGGAGTTGGACTTGCCACTAGACGCCGTTGTGCCGTGGCCTGTAGCTGTTTTATTGACAATAGAGAAAATAGATGGATTTTTTCCCATTCAAATAACCAACATCACTCGTGGGTTAGGTCATCGAAATGTATGGTGTCTAAACGTGGTAAAAGAAACTACAAATGACATTAAACACAGCGTATGATAGAATCATCAGTCATAACCCATATCCTTAGCGAAAAAACTCCATGGCCAGTTGGTCGGCCGCCCGCCCACCCGCTACCTCCCTCTTTGTAATATTTCCTCTCCCTAAAACTCCTGCACCCATGTCCTGTAGTACATGTAGAGAGAGTTAGCAGTAGCAGGCCAGCAGGCCGCAGACCAGTGCATCGCGCAAACGCGCCATGCCCGCTTCGCGCTTGTGGGTTTCTTTTTTTTTTAGGGAATTTAAACTTCCAACCAACCATGTCAGCTGAATCGCTTGACACCAAGTACAATATACAATCAGGTACTCTGGCCATTACAGAGGACGTTTCCTCTACACTCATGCTCCCTAAAGAAGCTAATTCATGCGCTACATGATTACATTCTCTTGGTACATATTTCAATTGGGGAGACAAAGTTTTCAGCTAGCAATTCTTTTAGTTTAGATGCACCAGCCCACCCATTGTGGACAATCTGAAATCATCCCCCAGGAGTGCATCTACGACCTGTATAGCATCAGTTTCAAGAATGATATCACCACATCCCAAATCTGCTGCCACTTTCAGACCTTCGACGCAGGCTCGAAGCTCAATGTGCATAGGATTGCAAGCGAAGCGTTGCCGTCCGAAAGCCGGATTGGATAGCTCGACCCTCATCGTCACGGATCACGTATCCCCATCATTTTCGTCCGCCACTCTGAAGGAGCCATCGACATTTATTTTCAGGCTGCCACTACTCGGGCGCTGCCATTTTCTCGTCCTTGATCCAGTTGATCCCACCCATTGCATGCTACTGTGCAGTCCCTGCATGGGACTGTGCAAAGCCTTTAGCTCCTGTGTTTGCTTCCAGCATAGATTTGCAAGATATGTTGCTGATCGCCTCTGTTCCCCTTCTCTAATAG